AGTTGCTCAGGCCAGACCTTTGTCAGTATCAAAGATAGAGTTCTTCTCTGGTGGTGGGGGAAGGGCTACCTTCCCACCACTGCTCCTTGAGAAAGAGTGAGAATGTCTTGGGTATACTCCCACCAGTCTCTTGGTTTCTGGGTTGCCCATGATCTGTGATCAGCAGGATTTCTGCTCCTTGTCAGTTCTTGCTGGCAGTGAGTAGAATCTGCTCGCACCCAACATCTGGCACCTTTGACCTGGACTTACTCTGTTGATATGGTGCTGTTGTGGCAGACAACAACAAGTGATCAGATCTGTCTTCTTAACCAAGCTGCCTGGATTTTTCCTCTCTGGCCAAACTCTCTGTACTGTGATGGCACACTTGGTGCGATTCCCTAGCCTAGGACTGTTCACTGGAATACTAAAACTGCTTTCTATGGGAGAGTTGGTTTAGCCTCTAGCTTCTCCTCCACCATCTTCCTCTGGATCACCTTATCTTATAATTTTTAATAGAAATATGTTCAGCCAGGTGCTGGTGGTTCACATCTATAATCTCAGCTATTCAGGAGGTTAATGAGATCTGAGGATTGTGATTCAAAGGCAACTAAGGCATGAAAGTCCATGAAATTCTACTTTTTATTAACCACCAAAAAAACAAAACATTAAAAACAAAAGAAACAAAGCTGGAAGTGGAGCTGTGGCTTAAGTGGTAGAGCACTAGCCTTGAACAAAAAAATTATATTAAGTAAGCCAAGCCCAAAGAAACATAGGTCCCATAGTTTCCCTTATTTGCAGTAACTAGTACATGTGTAGGGCAAGCAGAAAAGGCCAAAAGCTATGTACATATGACTATATAAGATGACATTAAGCAAAATTAACCCCAAGATAGGGACACAACTATCTTTTTTCTTTCTTGCTATTGTTTCTAACATTTTAATGTACCATGTGATTTTTTTTGTTTCATTGTATGTTTCGCTCCCATGGTATAAGCCTTGTTTTCACTGTATTTGATGTTGTTGCTTTGCGTCTTGTATATATACTTCTCTAATTCAGGGAGGGGAAGGGAAATAGCAAAATGCCAAAATAAGGATATAGGTTGACCCGTTGTAACAATGAGATGTACAAGACACTATGTTGAAAACAAACTTTACAACTTTGAGGCGGTGAGAGGAGGGAGAAGTTGGGGAGGTGGGAAGGAAAGAATGGTAAGGGAAAAACAATGCTTGATAGGAAATGTACTCATTACCTTACTCATATAACTGTAACCCCTCTGTACAGTATTTTTACAATAAAAAACATATTAAAAGAAAGCTAAGGGACAATGCTTAGATCCTGAGTTTAAGCCCCAGTAATGGCACGCGCACACACACACACACACACACACACATAAAATTAGTTCATGGAGTATTCAAATTTATGTTGTGAGTTATTTTCTTTTAGCATTTTAAACAGGTTTTCCTGTGTCTTCTGGATTTATTATTTCTACTTGTAAATCAACTCAGTGCTACTTTAAAAATAATATATCTTGCCTGATATGGTGTCTTATACCTATAACCTCAGCTATTTGGGAGGCCAAAATAGGAGGATCACAATTTAAGGTCAGCCGAGGAATAAAGTTAATGAGACTTATCTCAAAGAATAATCTGGAAGTAGTGAGTCACATTTGTGATTTCAGCTATACAGGAGGCATACATTGCAAGAACGAGGTCCAAGGCTGTTGTGTGCAAAAAGGATATTATTTGAAACACAATTAAAGAATAAAGGGCTAGGGATGAAACTAAACTGGTAGAGTACTTGACTATGAGACCAGAAGTCCTAAATTAAAACCCTAGGATTGCCATAAAAAAGTAGATTTTGGGCTGGGAAGGTGGCTCAGCGGTAGAGCACTTGCCTTGCATGCCTGAGGCCTTGGGTTCGATTCCTCAGCACCACATAAGCAAAAAGAAAAAAGCCGGAAGTGGCGTTGTGGCTCAAGTGGTAGAGCGCTAGCCTTGAGCTGAAGAGCTGAGGGACAGCGTCCAGGCCCAGAGTTCAGGCCCCACAACCAGACCCAAAAAAAAAAAAACAAAAAAAGTAGATTTCATACCATAATCACTGCCCCTTCAGTGATTTCACAATTGTATCTTGAATGATTTTTTTTTTAAGGTTAACCCATAAAATGTTTCCTTCATCCTTTCTGAATATTTTTAAGGCTTCTTGAATTTGTAGTTCATGCCCTGTTTGGATTACCTTATGATGGTTCTAAAATGTTTGTAAATGAATTACCTAGGATTCTCAAAGGCAAATGACCCATGGATTAGTCTTTTAATAAATACTGAGAAATTGGAGCACCAAGGAAAAGCACGTATACTTTCTCCATCCATCTCAGGGAACAGAAGGCACACATTGCCACACGCTCCCCACTTTTGGAGTGCTTTTTTTTTTTTTAAGACTTACTCAACATATCTAAGATCATTCTGTATCCTAATTATTTATTCTGGTTTGTAATAATACCACCTCCAAACTGTATATTTTTAAATTAGATCTTCAAGTTCGTAATTATTACATACGGAGGAGTATTCTGTTTGAATTATGCAGAATTGTGCATGCCTTCCTTAACATCTTCTAGTAATAAAAGAAACAGGTTTTTGCTCCTCTTCTCTCTTCCCCCTTCCCATCTCCTCCCCATTCTCCTACCTCTCTTCCCTTTCCCCGCTTCCTGTCCTTTTTTTTCTTTCTACCCCTCTTTCTTCTTTTCCTTTTCTCCTCTCTCCTTTTTTCTCTTTTCTCTTCTGCTGTCTATTGGTCTGTCTGCCTGAGTCTCTCTTTCTCAACTATTTGGATTTTTGTATAGGTCCTACAGTTGTGCATTCTAGCAAATACTGAATTGCATGATTACTCTGTAGGTAGGTCCATTCCAACTCAGGTTGCTGAAAACTCAGGAATGCTGGCATATTGGTGTTCATTTATGGCTGCCCATAGGAAAAATACTGATTTCCTGAGGAGGTTACCATGAGGCCATGGAGCTCAGCTCTTGGTCAAGTATAATAAGGGGTAGGGCCAGATAGGATTTTTGTTTCTTGTCTATTTTTGTAATTATCAAAATCAATTTAGTCTAGAAACAGCTTAAAATACTATACAGGAATTAAATTTATAGTCATATCGAAGGTTCCCCATTCCCAACTTTGTTTATTATTATTCATTTCATTCTCATGCTTTTCTCATAAGATTAGAGGTCTCATTCTTATGTTAAAAATGAGTGCAGTCAAAGCCTATAGTCCCTGAGCAATCATGAATGTGTCTTTTGATCTGTTGGTTGTGGGATCCTAAGGTAGAACTTCTGAAGCTAGGGTATCTTAATTTTACTTAGCATGTCTTTCACTAAATGAAAACTAGGAAAGGAATATGTAGGCTAGCTAATTTCTAGGTCAGTGATATTCTAGAGTTCTATTAATTATTGCTCCCTTCTCTTCAAAATGTTTCCAAACAGTAAGTTTCATTCAACAGTATTTGTTTCCTTCTTTTCTTATACTGCTCATTTTCTCAGAAATGGCCATCTGGTTTGGGGTTATTTTTGTTGTTTTGATTTTTTTGGGGGGGGGGTCCAGTCGTGGGGCCTGAACTCTGGGCCTGGGCGCTGTCCCTCAGCTCTTCAGCTCAAGGCTAGCGCTCTACCACTTGAGCCACAGCGCCACTTCCGGCTTTTTTCTTTTTGCTTATGTGGTGCTGAGGAATCAAACCCAGGGCCTCATGCATGCAAGGCAAACACTCTACCACTGACCACCTTCCCACCTTCCCCAGTTGTTTTGATTTTTTTCTTTGGTAATACAAAGATTTGAAAACAGGGCCTCTCATTTGATAGGCAGGCCCTCTATCACTTGAACTAGATACAACCAGTCCTTTTTACATTAGTTACTTTTTAATAGGGTCATACTTCCCCCCTCCCCCCAGGCTGGACAGAACTGCGATCCTCCTTATATACCTCCCACATTGCTGGAATAATATATGTGTGACACTGTACCCAGTCTTTTCTTGGTTGATGTGGGATTTTGACAACTTTTTGCCTGGTTTAGCCTTGATTCTTGATCCTCTTGATCTCTGTCTCGTAAGTAGCTAGAATCACAGACATGAGCCACCATGCCTAATTCACTAGTATTTTATAGAGACAATTGTAATGGTTATGCATATTATACTAGAAAATTAAATTAAAATAATAGACATGGTAGTAGATACGGAAAGATCAGGAAGGTGTTTAGACTATGTAGCTAGAAAATTAAATGAATCATAAATTTTGAAAGCTGTTTTTCAAAATTAACATATGGAAGACTTGTAATTATAAATAGGTAAGTGAAGCTGTATAGCCCAGGAAGGCAAACAATAACTAAAATTCCTATCAGTGTATACTAAATGGTATTGCCTATTCTATATTATAAACACTTTTATATTGTTATTCTTGACTGCATCTGGCAATCTTAATAATCTTACTAAGTATGCTTGTTTATTGCCATATTGAAGGGTTAACTTAATAACTGCAAATGAAATTATAATTCAATTAAATATTATTTTAGATTTTTCTTTGCTGTCTACTTCTGGGTGTACTTAATCAGGTTAATCTTTGATCCATAATTAAACAGAATATTTTCCATGACCTGTTGCCTTAATGAAATATATGACCTCAGAGCACAAGGTTATTTCTAAAGAACCAGCTCTGCTGTTATAGTCCCCAAAATGGTGAGCCATGTTTCTTTAACTACAATATTCCAGAGGAAAGAAACAACAGTCACTTAAACACAAAATAAGGTTGCTAATGATACACACAGCAAGTTTCCAAATGATAACACAGAGGGTATTAATAGATTTTTTTCTTTTTTGCTGATCACGGGGCTTATACTCAGATAATAGATCAAGAGGACAAAAGTTTCAATGTGATAAAAGGCTAGTTACAGACAAATGTCCTGCTATACCCTGTGAAAGAAATATGTGAATAAGGAAAGGGAAGCTGTGGCTCAGAATTAATCTCTGGCTGTGCTCAACACTCTTCAAACACTGAAGAGTCTTTTAATTGCATTTTTCATGTCCTTGTTTCTCAGACTGTAAATGATGGGATTGAAAAATGGGGCGCACACGCTAAACATGACTGCAATGGCTGTATCTAAAACTGGGGGATAGGTGGCACTGAAGCGCAGATACATGAGGCACACACTGCCAAAGAATATCAGGAAGACTGTGAGATGACCAGCGCATGTAGAAAAAGCCTTCTGCCTCCCCTCAGCAGAGGGAATTCTCAGGATCACAGAGACAATTTTCATGTAAGATAGAGCAATTATGAGAAACGTAATGATAATAACTACAGCGTGGGTCACGTCCTCAATCAGAATCATGGAAGTGTCCGTACAGGCTAACCTTAGCACAGGAACCAAGTCACAGAATATCTGATGGATTTGGTTGGACCCACAGAAGGGCAGTGTGGAAATGATCACGATCTCAGGAAGCAGGACGAGGAAGCCAACGACGCAAGAGCCAGCAGAGAGCTGAGCACATAGCTTAGGGGTCATGATCATTGGATAGCGAAGAGGTTTGCAGATGGCAAGGTATCTGTCAATAGCCATGATGGTCAGAAAAAGCCCCTCTGTGTTTCCCAGTGAGTGGAAGAAATACATCTGCAGGAGGCAGCCGGTCATGGAGATGGCCTTCTTTTCATTGACGAGGTTGAACAGCATCTTGGGAATGGTGGCAGTAGTGTACCATATCTCCAGAAAGGAAAAGATACTGATAAAGTTGTACATGGGGCTGTGGAGATGTGTATCCAGCCGGACGGCAAAGAAGATCAATAGATTCCCAATGACGACAAAAATATAGATGAAAAGTAGAGGGAAGAAGTAGAGGAGACTCACTTCTTTGTGCTGTGGGAACCCAGTGAAGATGAACTCAGTCACTGCTGAGAGGCTTCCATTTTCCATGTCCCTCCAACAGCTACCTGTGTATGAAGTAGAGGACTCACTCCCTCCAGCTCATGGCAGGTGGAGGAGAAAATAAATCATATGCACATTCAATACCTTGAAATAACAGGGAGAAACCTGGAGGTTTCCCTCCCTAACTATTTGTACATATTTATTATCATTTGGTCATTTTCTTCCTCTCTTACTCATCAGAAGCCCAACTATAGAATTAGAGGTTTCCAGATGTTTTATCGGTACAAAAATTACATTATTTTAGTTTAATCACTAGTCATCTGTAGTTGTTGTGCATGCTAATGTTATAATATCTGTACCACAATGATATATAATAAGAAGTATGATAATAAACAATAAGAATTATAAGCAACTGTATGACATAATAATTATTGCATGATAATAATAAAATTTTAAACTAAAGGCATAAAACAGAAATGGTAAAATAAATGTTTTGTTTGTTGACTGCCCAATTGGACTGTCTCTTTGATGCATAGGTTCAAGGGAATTGGAATATAAACCTGGAACTGAAATTAAAATCCTGGACCAGTCTCTCAGCCATCTAGATGTCTTTTGGAGAATTACTTAATTTCTCCAAATTGCCATCACTTTAAAAAAGTGTGTGTGTGTGGGATTTAAAACAGCACGGAGGGAGTTGAACTGTGTTTGTTTCAGCTTTGGGTCTTTTTGCTTCTCTATATGCAGCCACAGCTGACTTGGGACTCTCTAAGGAGGCCAAGCTGTTCTTGGATTTCAGATCTTCTTGCCTCTCTAGTGATGAGATTACAGATGTACACCACCACACCCAGCAGTTTGAATAGGACTCGAAAGGAAACTTCTCCAAGGAGTGTTAAAATCAACTCACCCTGTTTCTCATTTTCCTTTCATGCTTTGTTCTGTACTCTCTCCCCTGACATTCCACTGATAGTACTTTGATGCTTTTCTTCTCAGCCCTGACACTGGATGCAGTTCATTCTTCTCCTATGTTGCCACATCTCCATTTTCAAATGGTGTGGTATCCTGATGGTTTTCTGAAGTAGATCTGTCTTTGGCTTTGACTCTTGTTTTACTTATTTTTATTTATATCTCATTTCCTACTCTTTCTTATATTAAATTATGTCCTTCTCTTAAACTCTACTTAAAAAGCATATTTTCCCTGGGATCCTACTGCATTGCTACTCTCATAATTTTATATTCTCCATTGGTATGTCATTCATTTCCCAGATTTTAAGTAGTAACATGTCTAAACTTCTTTGTTGTTCTTGTCACAGGGCTTGAAGTCAAGGACTGGACACTGTCCCTGAGCATTTTTGCTCAAGGCTAGTGCTCTACCGCTTTGAAGCTACAGCTCCACGTCCTCTAAATGGTTTTTCTACAACTTACCCCACCCCCAGCCGACTTTAAAAAACTTAAATGTCCCTAGCATCACCTCTTAGCATTCCTGACTGCACATTCTCCTGCAATCCCATTACTTACAGAGCTTTTGGTGTGCTACTTCTGCTGGTTTCAGTATGGCATAGCTTTCCTGCTCTGCCCTCTCTCCTTACAAAAGCAAGATATAGTACTGGATAAAAGTCTGATGTTAGGAAAAACTGCCAGCCTTTGCATCCTCTCTGCTACCTTCACGTTCTATGGCTTATCAAATTACTCTGCCTTAAATTCTCTATTTATACGTGGAGAAAAAATCAGTATGAGCTCATGAAGTTTTTGATAATGAGGGAACATTTCATAACAATAGTAGTGCTGATACTTAGTACATTAGATAGTATAGTAATTTTTGTTTCACTGCTATGGACACTATCCTAAGTATTAGAATATATTGCTCACCTAATGCACATAATGCTCTAATGAGATAAAATTGCTATCATCATTTTACAGATGAGCACATTTAGACAAACAGGTTAGGTAACTTGTTTGGTAATCCTTAGCCAGAAAAGTACCAAATTAGAATTTAAATCTATGCACTACCCTTCTAGAAGAACACTTCCACCTTCAGACACTCAGCTGCTCTAACCATATGTATGAAAGTGTGTGGTGTTTAAAATAATGTTAGGAATATAGTAACACTCAAAAATTTAGTACTGTCATGCTTGATTTGCTATATGACTACTGTTTATCACACTCCATTCTCAGCTTACTTGTTTTGCCTTCCATAAATTCAGACTTCCTCTTTCAAGGAAATACTTGTCACAGTCTTGTGGAAGAAATGGTCAGTGTCAAATAACTTAGAATTGGGTATAGATATAACTAATGTAGGACACTCTCACGTATCTATAAATAATGTTAGAAACAGATTGCATGGCACTTCATTTTAATGATCGTCCTAACCAAGTATAGACTAAATGACCTAAATGTCAGAAGATGGGCTCATAAATGTGGTATCTTGTTTCATATATGTCCAAATTATCTTTGCACATGATAAGTATAGTAATAGGAACATCAGTCATCCACACTTACCTCTGTCAAAGAGACTCCTCAGTGTGTGGGATTCTGCATCCTTGATTTCCCTTCAGCTTCTCCAAAGGGGGATTTATAGTCACCTCACAGGTAACCCAGGAAAAGCAGGAAGGGGAAGTAGGTTCTATAGGGGATTCTTCTCCTATACTCTGATGGGGAAGTTCATCTCTCCTGAGACTAATTAATTCTTTCTCCTCTCATTGTAATTCTTTCTCCCCTCATTGTAATTCCAGATCAACACCTAGTAAATCCAGCACCCCGGAGGCAAAAGGACTGTCTGGGCTACATTTTGAGGCTTGATTTCAACAAAATTAAACAAACATAAAAATAACATCAACAAAAAGATTTTTCTGGTCAAAGTTTAATATCTAATTTTCCTCATTGTGTTCATCTTCTTACATACAGTAAATTCCTTTCTTTGGTATTTTCAGTATTGTCCCTGTGGTTCCTGAGCTGACTTGAGCTTATTTAAAGAATTCCTGCTCATCTAACATGAACACACAGCTATGGAAAGACTTCAACAGTGTAAATTGATTATGCAAAGACGTTTCATTGTGGTATTACCATAAATACATATGTAATTGGCTTTGACCACATTCATTCCCTCAAGTACTACTTCATACCTCTGTTCTTCTTATTCTATTTTTGAAATTATAATTGGTTTTATTATAACATTTTCAACTGTGCATAGCATATAATGTAATTTGATTCTTTTCAACTTCCCTATATCACCCTTACTTTCCTTCTTTCACTTTCTGCTGGCCAACCCTCATTTATTTTTATATAAACTCTTTATATTTATGTCCTTCTTCATCTTTAGGTCAAGATTCCATATAGGACAGAAAAGCAGTATTTGTCTTTCTGAATCTGGCTGATTTCACTTAAAATGTTCATATCCAGTCAATAGTTGGTAAAGATGTTCCTCCCAGTCTATGGGTTCTCTTTTAGTGCTGTTAATTATTTCTGTACTCTTTGCTGTAAGAAACTCTTTAATTTGGTGTAATCTCATTTGTTTCCTGAACTGTTGGGTCTCATTTAGAAACTCATTGCCTATGCCTGTGTCTACAAGTGATTTACCTATGTTCTTCTCTAGTAGTTTTAAAGACGTAGGTCTTCCATTAAGGTCTTTCATCATGGATTTTTGTAAGGGTGAGAGTTAGTGATCTAGTTTTAATTTTCTACTTACTCAGTTTTCACAGTACTGTTTGTTGACATCATATCTTTTCTTCAGTATAAATTCTTGCCATGTTTATTGAGAACCAGATGATTGTATCTGAATGGGGTCATTTGTGTTCCTTTTGTTCCATGAATCTTCTTCCATTCATCCATCTGTTTCTATGACTCAGTAGTGTAATTTGATCAGGTATTGTCATACACCCAGCATTTGCTCTGTCAATATTGCCTTGGCAATTTGTGGTCTTCTATGTTCTCAAGTGTATTTTAGAATTTTTTTTCTTTGAACATCATTTAGATTTTGGTGGGGATTGAATACGGTTGTAAGATCACTCAGTAATCTAGTCATTTATTTTCATCGTGTTAATTTTGCAATCCATGAACATGGGAAGTCTTTTTCCTAATTTTTATTCAATTTATTTCCTCAGTGTTTTATGATTTACATTGTAGAGATCTTTCACCTCCATAGTTAAGTTTATTCTCTTGGGGATTTTCTTAGGCTACTGTGAAAGGGATTGTTTCTCTAGCTTATTTCTTAGCATAGTCATTATTGGTAAATAGATAAGCTACCAATTTGTAAATTGATTTTTGTATCCTGTTACATTGCTAAAAGTGTCTATCATATCCCATATGGTGCGGTGTTAGGGTCTTTTAGATATAAGAGTATACCACCTTCAAGCATTGGTAATTTGACTTCTTCCTTTCCTTTTTGTATCTCTTTTATTTCTTTCTCTTGTCTTACTGCTCTGGCTAAGAATCTTAACACTATATTGAATAAGAAAGGAGAATAAAGAGAGGAAGAACGAGAGTAGAGTCATGATAATCAACTATATATGTGCAAATGGAACTAGGAAAATGGAGGGAGTAGATGGGGTTGTGAGAGATGAGGAAGAATGAGGGACAGGGTGACACTGATCAAAATTCATTGTATTCATAAACTGATATGTTGAATTGAAACTCCATTGTACAACTACTTAATGATGTTAAAATTATAATAATATGTTAAAAAGAATGGAGAGAGTGGGCATGTTTGTCTCATTTCTGATAATAAAATTAATATTTTCTTTTTTCCCCATGTGTGCTATAGATATAGCATACATACCTATTGTTATGTTGAGAAAGGATCTTTCTATGTCAAGTTTATTCAAGATATCTATCATGACAGGATGGTGCTTTTTCAAGCTTTATCTATATATATTGAGATGAATTCTATTTATGTGCTGTGTTCTCAGAACAAAGCTGATTCCCAGCATCGGCTGGGAAATTCACCAGGTACTTTGGCTACATTCTCTATATCCTGAGTTCCTAAGTAGATCATAACTTTTCCAGACTTGGCCTATTTCCTCCACAATTCATAGGCAAAATTTCACCCAGTTAGTTAGGTTCTCCTCTCTTCTTTCCTCTTGCAATATCTGGTAGATAACTACTTCCCTCATTGACTCTCAATAGCATTCCTACTTAAGAAATGTTTTAGCTTTGGGAATCAACTGAGACAACTCCTTTTATCCCCCAAGACAAATAACGTTTTGCCTTCTGTCTTTGTTTCTTTGCTCTCCAATTGCTGATAATTTTTAAACATATGTCTTTGGTGCCCTGTGGACTCAACTGTAGGCAGATGTAAATGGTGCTTAGATACTATAGGCATACAGGAACCTTGTTACATTTTTCCTGTACTTGAGAAGAGTGTGATACATGATACTGAGGTATTAAAAACATTATCCTTGAAGTCTCTGGGAAATCTTATACATATTTTATTCTTCATTGTAATATTCTTAATAATTTTCACTAAAGTACCTAAGAGTTTATATGGTCTTAAGTTTATGGAACAAAAATTTAAATAGGTAAGTTTCAACTCCATTGTTACATACAGGTATCTACATTTGAAATTGATAGGTTAATTGTGACAATGCACAGAATACTTCTCAAAGGTCATAGCAATGAAAGCAAGAGTTATCTATGTATCTGTCTCTCTATCTGTCTGTCTTTCTGTCTGTCTGTCTATCTATCTATCTTTTCTGAATGTATTTGAGACTGCTTTTACCCAAATAGTTTAATTCAATTAGGTTTGATGAATTTAGATAAAATGGTCAAAATAAAATGAAGACTATGTTCTATTTGGCAGAAAGAATAGTAGAAACCCCATTATGAATTATAATCACATGTACATAGTCTTAATTGTATGATTTTATTTTTAATATATTACTGTAGCAAATAAGGGAAACCATGGGACCTATGTTTCTTTGGGCCTGGCTTACTTCACTTAATATAATTTTCTGCAAGTCTTTCCATTTCCTAACAAATGGGGCAATGTTATTCTTTCTGATGGAGGCATAGAATTCCATTGTTTATATATACCACATTTTCTTGATCCATTCATCTACTGAGGGGCATCTGGGTTGGTTCCATATCTTAGCTATGATAAATAATGCTGTGATAAACATAGTTTGGCTGATAGCTTTAGTATGGTCTTGTTTGGGATCATTTGGGTAAACGCCCCAAAGTGGGATTGCTGGGTCATAGGGGAGCTCTATGTGGAGTCTTTTGAGGAACCTCCATACTGCTTTCCAAAGTGGTTGAACAAGTTTATACTCACACCAACAATGCAGTAGGGTTCCCTTCTGTCCACATCCCCTCCAGCATCTGCTGTTATTAGAGTTCTTGATGATAGGCATTCTAACTGGGGTGAGGTGGGATCTCAATGTTGTTTTGATTTGCATTTCTTTTATGGCTAGGGAGATTGAGCATATCTTCATGTGTGTCTATTGACCATTCTTATTTCCTCTTCAGAGAAGTTTCTCTTTAAGTCTTTAGCCCACTTACTTATTGCGCAGTTGTTTCTTTGAGGATTTGTTTTTGGGGATTTCATTTTTTGAGTTCCAAGTATATTTTAAATATGAGACCCTTATCCATTGTATGGCTAGTGAAGATCTTCTAATCCGTGGGCTTTCTATTGGTCTTGCTAGCTATGTCCTTTGCCATGCAGAAGCTCTGCAACTTCATGCAGTCCCATTTATCCAACCTTCTTTTGATTTATTGTGTTTCTGGGTCTCTTTTAAGAAAATTTTGGCCTGGGCCAAGGAGAACTAGGGTTTCTCCTATTCCATCTTGTAATGTTTTCAGAGTGTCTGCTTTGACTCTGAGGTCTTTGATCCATTTGAACTTGAATCTGTTGCAGGGTGATATATAAGGATCTAGCTTTAGTTTTCTATAAGTGATTAACCAATTTTTCCAGCACCATTTACTGAAGAGGCTGTCTTTCTTCGATTCTATTTTTTAGCTCCCTTATCAAAGATTAGGTGGCTATAGGTCTGTGGGTTCATTTCTGGGTTTTCAATTCTATTCCATTGGTCCTAAGGTCTGTTCTTGTACCTGTACCAAGCTGTTTTGATTACTATGGCTTTGTAGTAAAGTTTAAAATTTGGTATTGTATTGATATTCCTCCAGCATTGTTATTTCTGTTAAGGATCATTTTTGCTATTTAGGGTCTTTTATTGTTCCATATGAATTTTTGGATTGCCTCTTCTATTTCCTTGAAGAATTAGGTTGGAATATTGATAGGCATCACATTGAATTTGTAGATAGCCTTGGGAAGTATTGGCATTTTCACGATGTTGATCTTTCCAATCCAGGAGCATGGGAGGTTTTAGCAGCTAAGATTTATATTGAACTTGTTTTGTATTATTCATAGAACTTAAGATTTAAATAACTTATTCACAGAAGTTATTTGAATAACCTATTTCTGTGTAATTTTCTAGGCTCAGAATAGAGTAATCCATTTTATATTTATATTAACGTATGAGTAACATACTAAACTTATTTTAAATTATATGACTTTTTAGACTATAGAAAGATACAGACAATTTGATTGATAACTTATACAATGTCACAAAGTTATTATATAGCACCACTGTAATACATATCTAATCGCTTCTACATTGTAATTTTTGGAACCACTATATTTTATTTTAATTTTTTTGCAGATGACATGATCTTGTATTTTTTTTATTTGTAATTTTTTATTGTAAAAATGTTGTACAGAGAGGTTACAGTTACATGAGTAGGGTAATGAGGACATTTCATAGCCAGCATTGTTACCTCCTCCTTTATTTTCCCCTACCATCACTTCCCTCCCTGCCTCCCCAACTCGTCCTACTCCCCTGAACTTTGTAACATTCGTTTTCAATATAGTGTCCTATACATCTTGGCATCTCAATGGGTCAGCCTACATTCCCATTTAAGCATTCTGCAATATCCCTTTCCCTCTTCAAATTTCAAAAATGTATATACAAGATGCAGAACACAGGCATCAAATCCAGGGAAAACAGAAGAACCTACAATAGAAACAAAAGAATCGCTTAATACATTTTAAATACATTAAAAACACTAGCAGGGAATTGTTCAGGGACAGCTCCCAGGCCTAGAGCTCAAGCCCCACAACTGACAAAAAAAAAAGAGAGAGAGAGAGATCTTTCATACGATTGTTTCTCACATATTTATAAGATTATGTCTTTGTTGCCTTGTATGTCCCTCTCCTGTGGTATAACCCCTGCTTTCACTATATATGATGTTGGTATATGTGGAGGGGAAGGGAAAAAACAAATGGTTAAAACAGGGATACAGGGGGACCCATTGCAACAATGAGATATACAAGTCGTTATGTGGAAAAACGAACTTTACAACTTTGGTGGGGGAGATGGGCGGGGGTGGGGGGAGGATACGAAGGGATGGGAAGGGGAAACAAAGCAGGAGGCTACAATGCTTGATAAAAAATGTGCTCATTATCTTACCCATGTAATTGTAACCCCTCTGTACAGTATTTTCACAATAAAATATATATATTAAAAAAACACTAGCAGGAAAAAAACAAAAAAAAACTCTTGTGTCCTTGTCTTGGGGTACATTTTGCTTAACATTATCTCATGTGGTTGTATGCACATGGCCTTTGACCTTCTCTGCTTGTCCTAAACATGTATTAGTCACTGCAAAGAAGGGAAACCATGGGACCCATGGGATCTATGTTTCTTTGGGCCTGGCTTATTTCACTCAATATAATTTTTTCTAAGACTTTCCATTTCCTAACAAAAGAGGCAATGTCATTCTTTCTGATGGAAGCATAGAATATATATATATATATATATATATATATATATATATATATATATATATTACATTTTCTTGATCCATTCATCCTCTGAGGGGCATCTGGGTTGGCTCCATATCTTAGCTTTGGTAAATAATGCTGCAATAAACATGGCTGTGCTGGTAGCTTTGTATGGCCTTGTTTGTGATCATTTGGGTAAATGCCCAAAAGTGGGTTGCTAGGTCATAAGGGGAGATCTATGTGGAGTCTTTTGAGGAACTTCCATACTGCTTTCCAGAGTGGGAACCACCATATTTTATAATCTGTAGTTGCTACTAATGTTTATGTAATACCTAAGACATAAAACTTTTGTGAAAAGCTAATTAAATAAAATCTCACAAAAATACATTTTATGGATGTAATCATTTTATCTCCTTTCTACATTTTGTACACATGTCTAAGACTAGACAGGTATTACATATTATCTTAAAAACATGCGTAAGCAGAATAAATATGTGTATGAAAACAAGAACTGTGATAGTCAAAATATCATTGTAAGAATGAATGAATTATATGCAAATATGATTTAGAATGCTAGAGGAGCATCTACAGTGAGAAATATTCATGAATTGGCATTAGCTTGATGATGTAAGTATTTTTTGAGGGAAGAAAAGTTTCTTAATTGCAGTTTTCATGTCCTTATTTCTCAAACTATAGATGATGGGGTTGAAAAATGGAGCAAGAACAGCAAACATTAGTGCAATGGCTGTGTCCAAAATTGGTGGAAAAATGGCAGAGAAACGCAGGTACATGAGACTCACACTGCCGTAGAACATCAGAAAGACGCCAAGATGAGCTGCACAGGTGGAAAAAGCCTTCTGACGACCTTCAACAGAGGGAATCCTCAAGATCACAGTGATAACTCTGATATAAGAGATGGAAATAATCAAGACAGAGAAGATGATGGCCACAGCATGGATCACATCTTCAACCAGAATCATGGATGTGTCTGTACAGGCCAAGCGCAGTACAGGTTCAAAGTCACAGAAGATCTGCTGGATTTGGTTGGGGCCACAGAAGGGCAATGTAGAAATCCATACAATCTCTGGGAGCAACACAAGAAAGCCAAAGATACAGGAACCCGCAGAGAGCTGAGCACACAAGCGTGGTGTCATGATGGTTGGGTACCTGAGAGGGTTACAGATAGCTACATACCTGTCAATAGCCATGGTCGTAAGCAAAATCCCCTCTGAATTTCCTAGGGAGTGGAAGAAGTACATCTGCAAGAGGCAGCCAATCATGGAGATGGTCCTCTGCTCACTGATGAGGTTGGAGAGCATCTTGGGAATTGTGGCAGTGGTGTACCAGATCTCCAGAAATGAGAAAATACTGATGAAATTATACATGGGATTGTGGAGATGAGTATCCATCCTGACTGCAAAAAACACAATGAGATTCCCAACAACAATGAACACGTAAATGAAGAACAAAGGAATGAAGAAGATGCTACCATCTTCAAGTCGGGGGAATCCAGAGAAGAGAAACTCTGTCACTGCTGTAGTGCGATTATTTTTCACCGTAGTCTCAGCAGTGTTGACCATTATGGGAGAAAAGATAGTGCACTTTTTAGCTGAAAGGTAAAAAATTAAGATGTATTGGTTTGTATGAGAATCAGATGAAGAAGAGTCTTTACATAATACCCATTCCCAAAACCAATAGAGATCCATCCAAGAAAGAGAACTACAGACTGATCTCCTTGATGACTGTTGTTGCAAAACTTCCCAATAGGTGATTAAGTAAGTTTTCTCAATAACATTCCTCAATATATTGAGGAATAAAGGCTGTATATGACAAACCTACAGCCACTGTTATATTTAATGGTGATAATCTAACATCATTTCCTCTAAAATCAGGAATGAGACAAGGATGTTCCCTCTCTCCTCTCCTCTTCCAAATAGTATTGGAATTCCTAGCAATATCAATAGGCAAGAGAAACACATAAAGGTGAAGAAGTAATTGCAGGTGGCATGATCCTGTGCTTAAAGAGCCCTATAGATTGCTCCCCCAAGTTATTAAGCTGGTCTGAGACTTTGGCAAAGTAGTAGGGTGTAAAATCAACCCACAAAAATCAGTAGCTTTCTGTATGCCAGCAATAAAAAAAATTGAGACTGAAATCAGGAAAGCAACTCCATTTGTAATAGCCTCAAAAAATACCTAGGAATTAGCCAAAGAAGTGAAGAACCTGTATTTTGAAACCTAAAAATTTGAAAAAAGAAATTGATGCAGATTTAAGGAAATGTAAAAACCCTCCATGCTCCTGGATTGAAACAATTAACCTTGTGAAAATGACAATACTGCCTAAAGCTTTCTACAAATGCAATCCCCATCAAAATCCCAACATCGTTTTTTTCAGAGAGATAGATGAAGCAATCCAAACATTTATATGGAATAATAAAAGACCCCAAATAACAAAAACAATCCTTTATAGGAAGAACAGTGTTAGAAGAATATCAATACCAAACTTCAAACTCTTCTCACAAAGCCATAGTAATAAAACCAGCACAGAATAAGCCTGAGGACCAATGGAATAGAAGACCCAGAAATGAACTCACAGACCTATAGCCACCTAATATTTGATAAGGGAACTAAAAATACAGGTTGGAAAAAAGACAGCCTCTTCAACAAATGGTGCTGGCAGAATTGGCTATACATGTGCAGAAAACTGAAGCTAGATCTGTATATATCATCCTGCACCAGAATCAATTCTAAAGGATTAAAACCTCAATGTAAGGCCAGATACCATGACAATATTACAGGAAAGGGGTAGGAAAAACACTAGGGCTCTTAGACACAGATCAAACTTCATAAGATCCAGAATCACAATAAATCAAAGAAAGACTGGATAAATAGGATCACATGAAACTGAAGAGTATCTGCATGACAAAGGATATAGCTAGAAAGAATGGGAGAAGATTTTTACCAGCTATACTTCAGACAGGGGCCCCATATACTTCAGACAGCTAAAATATACTTAGAGCTTAAAAAGTTAACCCCCCTCCCCAAATAAACCTTCAAAAAAAAAAAACCCCCAACCACTCATTTAATAAATGGGCTAAAGATTTTTTTGTTTGTCAGTGGTGGGGCTTGAACTCTGGGCCTGGGTGCTGTCCCTGAGTTATTCAGCTCAAGGAGAACACTCTACCACTTGAGCCACAGCACCACTTCCAGTTTTCTAGTGGTTAATTAGAGATAAGTATCTCACAGATGTTCCTGCCCAGACTGGATTTGAACTTTGATCCTCAGATCTCAGCCTCCTGAGTAACTAGGATTACAGATGTGAGCCACCAGCACCTAGCTAGGCTGAAGATTTAGAGACTTCTCCAAAGAAGAAGTAAGAATGTCCAATAAATACAAAGAAGTATTCAACATCTCTGGCCATAAAAGAAATGCAAATCAGCTGGGCGCCAGTGGCTCAAGCCTATAATCTTAGCTACTCAGGAGGCTGAGATCTGAGGATCATGGTTCAAAGCCAGCCTAGGCAGGAAAAGTACATGAGACTCTTATCTCCATTAAACCACTCAGAAAATTGGAAGTGGCCCTGTGGCTCAAGAGGTAGAGCACTAGCCTTGAGCTGAAGAGTTGAAGGACAGTGCTCAGGCCCAGAGTTCACGCCCAACAACTGACAAAAAAAAAAAAAGAAATGCAATCAAACCAACATTGAGATCCTACCTTCCCCAGTTAGAATGGCCATTATCAATAAAACTAGCAATAACAAATGTTGGTAGGAATGTGGCCAAAATGGAATGTTACTTCACTGTTGGTGAGTATGTAAACTCATTCAACCCACTCTGGAAAGCAGTATAGAGGTTCCTCAAAAGACTTAGCAATTCCACCCCTGGGCGTTTATCCAATAGATCACAAAGAAGGATACACTAAAGCCACCAACACAATCATTTTCATTGCAACATTATTTACCATAGCCAATATATGGAATCAACCCAGATGCCCCTCAGCAAATGAATGGCTCAAGACAATGTAATGTATATATGTATATGTATATAATGGAATTCTATACATCCATCAGAAAGAATGACATTGTACCAGTCATGAGGAAAAATTATATTAAGTGAAGTAAACCAGACCCCCAAGAAGCATAGGTTGTATGATTTCCTTCATTTGTCTTTTTTTTATGATTTCTTTTTTTCTTTATTTTGAGGATTTTTAAACAATTGTCTTAACTAGAATGTTCCTATAAATTGACAAGTAAACCCCCTAGGTAGTAGAACACAAACAATTACACCTGGATACAGTTAATTAAATAGCATTCTAATCATTCACACAGCGATACCAAAGGAGGATACTCTTAGGAGAGTATCTTGTTTCCAAGAGGAGGTCAGGGGAGGTACAGAAAGGGTGAGGCAAGGGTAAGCAATTGCAGCAGTGGTACTTACTAGACACTTGCTGAAAATGAACTATACAGCCTGTGGGTGGGGGTGAGGAGGGAAAAACTAGGAGAGAGTGAGGGAAGGGGTGACATTGTTCAAAAAGAAATGTATTCATTACCTGACCTATGTAAGTGTAACTCCTCTGTACATCACCTTCACAATAGCAATTACATATATATTATATATATATATTGAAAAGGAAAAACAGTCTTTAGAAAAAATCATGTATTTCTCTTATTCATGGGTTAATAAACAGGTATTTGTTTAGTGCCTATTTCATACTTAGCTCTCAGATGTGAGTTTGTTAATTTCAGTAGTGAAGAAAATGCTCTGCGTTCATGAAGTTTATCATAACAAAGGACTGGACTAAATTAGTAGGACTGAACTGGAAACTCGAAGACTGATGGTCACCTTGAAGGGAGGCTGCTGTAGGGCTTTGTAAACTTGACTACCAAATCCATGCATGGCTGTTTGGGTGCTTAGAGATTGTTAACTTCTCTCAGGGGACTTCACGTGGCACAACTCTAAGAGGAGCACAACTCTGGTGAGTGAACTGACCTGGAGGCATTTCAGAATCAAAGCAATCTCATGACAGACAGGGGAGTTGCACAGGAAGCCCTAAGGAGCCAGGCAGGTTAAAAAAAAGGTTCATATGGCATCTAAAGGAACGAGTGACCCAAATATGCTATCGGACATCTTTAGGAATCCTTTAGGATTCATACCTATACCCAGTCCTTAGAATGGCCATGGTAAACTGAGTTTAAGCCCAATTTTTGTCATGGCATCTCGAAGTCTGACCTACTGAGTTCTGTTATGATGCAGCACCTTTTCTTTTTGGCTCTTTGTCACTAGTAGGCTGTCCTCCACCAGTCAAACCACACTCTCTCCCTTTCAACTCTATCGAGTTCCTGAACTGCATATAAGAAGAGATTAAGAAGCCACAAAGACTTACATCAATATAGAGACATCTGCGAGTCATTTTTAAGAAAATTATTGTTATATTGTGTTCCTGATATTTTTGTTGTTGTTATTTTTTGTTATTTCCTCAAAGTGGTTGATTGAAATTAAGATTTTTTTTAAAAAATTGAGGTACCTGTGTTTTAGCAAAATTCCAGCATATCCTAATTAAAAATTTAGCTGTTAGACCCTGGAAGAAGAGACATAAACTGATCTAATCCCACTGGAATAAAAGGAAAGCATATGTATGATCAGTTTTAGGTATGGAGATTATTTTTCTTTGGGTCTGTATCTTAGGAAGTAATTCATCCCCTCGTTATTACAGGAATGATCTTACTGATTTGGCTGGGACTTAAACATCAGTATGTGAAGTGGTATCCTTCTGGATTAATTTAATTTGAGCAACTCTGAGGATGTATATCAATAAGCAAGAATTTACCATCCCATCTGCTATACTATTACAAATGTAATATTATCACTGATTTTTAAACCTACAAGTAATTCTCCTCCTCTTGAAGCCAAATTCCATTTGGCCATTCATGCACTCTCAACTATGTCTCTAAACGCTAGTTTCAGTTAAGGTAATGGTAGCTAATGTTCCCTTTTAAGTTGTCCATACACCTTCTCCTAGACACATGACAAGGCTGCACTTGGATCTGGGTAAATTCTCTTACCTTTAGCAGAGACAATGAGGTCCCCTCCCTTTCCTGGGTTTATGCAGTATAAGTCTTTGGGTTCAGATGGAAAGGCTTACAGGTTTCTTGGGGGAGCTGTCTCTACTAATGTCTTTCTCCCCTGATAGCTAGGGAAAATAACAACTGTTTCCCCATGGCTTAATTAATGGAAATCTTTTTTTAAACTTAATTTTCTCATTTGTTTACCTTGGTGTTTAAAATGCCAAGAGTTTTAGTGATATGTGGGCTTCGATATTTTAGCTCAAAGTCCAGAGGTTATCTGAACAGACATTCCTAGAAAGAATTGTATTCAACAGAATTGGGGACTTAAATTGGGTAGTTTAAGTGTTTCAAGGCTTACTGAGTTTTCCTACAGAAGATATAAAGAAAAGAAGGAAGAATTGTCTTGTAAAATGTTTTCCATGGGGCTGGGAAGGTGGCTCAGTGGTAGAGTACTTGCCTTGCATGCATGAGGCCCTGAGTTCAATTCCTCAGCACCACATAAGCAGAAAAAGCTGTAAGGGG